GCCCCTTTGGTCTGTTGTTTGACTGTGGGTTATTCGGTTCATACACCTGAGGCAGTGTGTGGAGCTCTGATTTGCAGCGTGCCCTGACTGGGCCGTACAGCCCGGGCTGGTGTGCACGGGAGGTGCAAGTGCTTAGTGCCTGAAAATTGTGGAGCTGAGCAAAAGCATCATCTGTGATGGACCTGCCTGTGTCACCAGGATGAATGGTGCCACGACAGGTGGAATTGTAGTGCAGTTGTTAAGATTTAGGGAAGGCCAAAGGTTCCTTAGGTTTACAAATCTGCTATGTGGTCCTGAGTCAGGGGTTATGCTTTATTGGAGATACCTAAACATGTGAGCTCCCTGTCTCTGAGAGTCCAAAATACACATTTGCTTTATGAATGAAGGTGGTGTATACAACAGTGCAAAACTAAGACTAGTCCTGACTTCTGAGGACAGTGAGCTTTGGGTTAGAGAGAGTGGTCTGATGTGCACGTATGTAGCAGATCTTTCAATCACAGGGTCATTGTTAATCAAGGAAGAAACTTAAACCTTGTTTGAAGTCCAGTTTGTAAGGGTATACGAACTGGGACTGGGATTAAAAATAGTTAAAATTACTTTTTTGTCTCTGAGCATACTCTGTATGGGTAGATGATAAAGAGTGGTGTGTGCGAGGTACAAGCATCTCTCAAACTGTTGTTTTTCTTTATGCAGCCAAAATGAAGTTCAATCCATTTGTGACCTCAGACCGCAGCAAGAACCGCAAACGACACTTCAATGCACCTTCTCACATTCGAAGAAAAATAATGTCCTCCCCGCTCTCCAAGGAATTGCGGCAGAAATACAATGTTCGCTCTATGCCCATTCGGAAGGATGATGAAGTCCAGGTAGCTGCACTGTTTGTCTTTTAAGTTGTGCTGTCACGTGAACTTTTATTTGTGTTTTGGTTTTCCTGTATAGCCTGTGCAAAAGGGGAGGGCTAGACAAATTCAAATTGATACTAGAGCTTTGCCGTGATTCTTGTAGAAATAATACCAGTTAATGTAGTCGCAGACTTGATGTGTTGAGTTTTTCTTGAGATCATGTCAGTGAGAAAGAAAATACAAGGAACACAGGTGTGCTGGCAACTTCACTGTGCTCCAGTTACACACATTGAGTGTCATGCCGGATTAAAGGCTTTTAACAGTGAAGACAAAACAAAGATTTGTTTCTTTTTGGTTTTGACTGTTTGCTACCTGTGATATGTGAAAGATAATTCAGAAATGCGTCAAAGTTTAAGTGGCTTCTTTGATTTAAAATGCAACGATAGGTGGAAAAACTGGTGAAAAGGTTGACCATTATCCTTCTGGTTGAAAAGATGTGGAGTTCTTCATTAGGGTTTACTGCAGGGAAAGTGAGGGAGAAGTACGATTCTGGTCCATTATGTTTTCTATTTTAGCGACTGCTGGAATTGTCCAGTAATTGTTGCCTTTGTAGCATGTGTATACAAAGAGCAAGAGTTGTGATTTCAACCTATGCAGTTCTGGTTTTCTGCTGGGATAATCAGTGTTTCTTAAGATCTGGTAATTGTTTTAAAGGGTGTGTTTGAAGCACGGAGGCAGTGTGATTCTTACGTTTCTGTTTAGGTTGTCCGGGGACACTACAAAGGGCAGCAGATCGGCAAGGTGGTCCAGGTGTACAGAAAAAAATACGTCATCTACATTGAACGTGTTCAGCGTGAGAAAGCAAACGGCACAACTGTCCACGTGGGGATCCACCCCAGCAAGGTACGGTGCATGAAATGAGATCTGAAGGGCATTGGGAGACCTTGTTGGCAAATGAAGGTACTGCTGCTGGCATAAGTAGAACCTTGCTATGGTGTGTGGAATAATGGATTGAGATACTGCAGCATTGCAAAGGGAATAAACAAGGAAACGTTATGGTGCTATGATAGTAGAGAAGTGACAGTTGAATCCAAGAACCCCTTGATGTTTTTCTAGGGCGTATTTAGTGAAGAACCTGCTAGAGACTTTGGAGGTCTGTTAAAATACTTTTCTGAAGAGTTTCATGTTTTTAAAGCACAAAACAAAATATATAATTTAGAGCAATCCTTCATCTCTGCTATGTGGCATTTGCACTGATTAAGGAGGTGTTAGAAATGTTTAGATAGTTGCTCAGAATCGTGATTGTATTTTTCTTGTAGACTATTAATGAACTAAGTTCTTATGAATCTGGTTTTAGCCTGAAGTGATTTACATCGTTTAGAGTTTGTGAAAACCAGGCAAAGCCTGTTTGATCATAATAGGAAAACGTTTCAGACTAAACAGAACAACCAGCCAAAACCTGGTTTCAAGCAGATGAAATTAGTCTGCTTCAGCCTTGCCACGTGGGCATGCATACCGAAGTGTTGGTGGAAGAAATCCAGTTGTAGCAGGTTTTCTCATCTAAATGGTTGCTGTGTTCAGCAGAGGGAAAGCAGAATTATTCCAAAACAACATAATGGCTTGTGTGCAGTAATAACATTTGAGGGACAAGGTGACATTGCAATGGAACCAGTGCATGTGTGGTAAATAGCAGCGGAAAAAATTGAGGTTTGTGCTGGCCCTTTATTTCTGGGAAAGTTTCTGCAATTTGAAGTCGGACCTTGAGAAAGCTTTGCATAAAGATTCTGGTTATTAATGCAAAAGGAACAGAAAATTGTTTTGTTTGTTGCAAACTTGCAGTGAGGTGGATGAACAGTTTCTGCCTCTCCTAGGTAAAGAGGTAAGAATTAGTTACAATTGAGCGAGACCTAAATGCTCGGTGGAACTGAGCAGGAGCGTGCAGCCCTGCTGCAGCCTGTATGGTTTTTCTAGGATTTGATTGTCAGTTTTATTTTTAAAGTACTCCTTTCAGTAATATCAACACATCTATTTATTTGCCAGTTTGAGGGGGCACACAGAGCGCTGAAGGGTGGTTATGGGCTGAAAATCAGAGCTTCGGTTTGCTGCTGCCTCGTTAGAAAGATCATTAAGGCTGCAGCAGCAAATAGTCTGCGCAATTTACCTTTTATGTGTCCACAACTGCCTGGCCACTTCACAGCTGTTCAGTAGCAGATGTGTTCTTCAGAGTGTCTTTATATGAGCCACTATGATGCATGAACTTTTACTGTTGCCTGCAATTTAGCCAGATGCCTTGGCTATTCCGAACAGTGCAGCAGTAATGTAATAATGGCCAGCAGCAGCATGGTTTTCCAGTGTTCCAAAATTCGGGTGGTATTGTTTAAAACATGACAAAATTAAAATAATGATCCATTACTTGCTTTGTGGTGTGGGAAGAAGACTCAGCTATAGGCTGTTTTTTAGATGGATGCAGTATCCATCATGTTTGAACAGCATAATGGAACTTAGATTTACTTCAAAGTAATTATTTAGTTATATAGATGGATAGAAATTTGGCTGCTCTTCAGTTTATCCAAATGTTGTGGCTGTGCATTGAAAAAACTGTCCATATGTTCTGATGCCTGAATGTACTCAGATAAATTAATATAGCTCAGTGTTGTGAAACACAGAAGACAAGCCGGTACTTCTGTTCTACTCAGACCAAATTAGTCTGTGGGAATAAAACTCGGGTGCTGTGGTGCAGTCTGTCAGCAGTGATCTTCCTGAGCCGTGCTGTTATCACAGTTCTATCGGGTTGCTGTACTTTAACAGTGAAGAGACACTGAATTCTTTGTTCTTTCTCTAGGTGGTGATCACCAGGCTAAAACTGGACAAAGATCGCAAAAAGATCTTGGAGCGTAAAGCAAAATCTCGCCAGGTTGGCAAGGAGAAGGGCAAATACAAGGAAGAAACAATTGAAAAGATGCAAGAATAGATGGTTTCCTTTTGACACCATTAAAGAACTGCTAAAATTAAACCTATTGTTGTGTCTTCTCCTTTAGAAAGTCTTGATGTGGTGTCTGGTTAGTATTTAAATATTCATTCTCAAGTTTTGATGTTGGCTATGTAAAAAATACTTCCACTAAATTAAAAAGCTTTTTATACTTTTATTTACTTTTAAGAAAACTAAACTTTTTCCCCATAAAGGAATGTTTCAACCAACGTTAGAGTGGTGCAATCCTGAAAATATGCAGCTACTGACCATTGTACTTCTGTCTCTTCCACTGATCTGTAACATTTATTTAGATAATGTGTTGATGATTTTAAATGAATGGGTGAATTCTGTCCACCCTATATATTTAATATTTTACCAGACGTTTGAAGTAAGCCATTTCTGGCCATGAATCTTTTTCTGTAATCCTCTTAAATTACAGGTTTTTTCAATGGTGTTATGTATTTGACAGCAAAGGATGACATTTTAGAGCTTCACCAGGCGTGTTGTGGCCAAACACAGCACTGAGTCTGCTGTGGATGTCTCGGGGTCTTGCATGAATGCTAGAGCTTGAGGATGGGGGGTTTCCCTCGGCCCCGTGCTCCTGAGGTAGAGCTGCCTGGTTTGAAAAGGGTGGGAGTGAAGGCAGCCCCTGTGCTGTTGCTCGCACTACTTTGGATGAATTCTTCTGTCAGGGGAAATTAGCGTTTTAGTGCTCTATACATCTGTAACTGAGAGCTGCTGCAGCCTGGTGACAGCAGCCCCGCAATTCAGTGAAGTTACTGGCTCGGTGAATGGCCCTCTGATTGCTGATAGAGGGAAAGAAACACCGCTCGTGCCTGAACGCTGCAAAAATGGGATGCTGAGAAGGGAGGAAAGTTATATTCGTGCTTTTGAAATAACCCAAAGGCATTAATGCAAAAGCGGCTGTAGAAGGCGGCCTTTGGGTGTTGCTGTGATGTATGTTCCGAGGCTCTGCCCCTCACCGCTCAGCCCTGCACACGTGCTGCTCTGTGAGATCCCCCCCGCAGCCCGGGCACCGAGCAGGTCCCTGGGGTTCGTTCGGTGTGCCGGGGCCCTTTCCAGTCCTGACAAAGGCAGCCTGGAGCTGCGCGCCCCCCCTAGAGCTGGTTCCTCCGGGTGCCGCTG